GGGCGGGTGAGGGTTGTGTATCGTTTTCACTCAGCACTGCGTGCGACTGCGGCTGTGTCTGTGTATCCATCTATCTCCCTCGTCCCACAGCGCCGCGCAGTGCCGCACAGCGCTGCCCCGCCGCCATGCCGCCGGGAGTTGTGGGCGTACGGACGGGGCGTACACCGGCGAGCACAACCAGCACACGCCAAAATCTTTTCACCCAGGTTATGGCCACATAACCAGAAGCAAGTTGGTTAAAAAGTTCCCTCACGGGAAATAACAAAATCGTTAGAAAGAGATAAGAAGAGGGACGGAAGGAGAGAGAGGGAGGGAGGGAGGTGTTGGCCTCGGGGCTGGAAAACACACCGCTGTGCCCTCTCGCTGTGTTCCGGCCGGAGCCATCTATTAGGGAATGACTGGGACGCGGGACGCGCTGCGACCCGTTCCGTTCGGCAGCCGTTGGACTGTGAAGGGGTGGGGCGGGGTCGACTTGTCTGTCTGTCACCGAGGCCGAGGGATTCGGTTAGGCCCTTGACGCGCGCCGATAAATTATCTCGCAGAAAGCAGCAGTTGATTCCGAGTGTTTCTATCTTTTATTTGCGTCACGTACCGTGGGAAAATCGCTCGCCCGAGGGGAGGCGTCGAGTAGAAGGGCGAACGGGCAAGGCTTGGGCGGACGGCAAAAAAAATGGAGGCTGTGCGCCGGAATCTGAAACGTGGGTGGATTTCTTTGCCCCCCCCTTTTTTTCCGTCGGCCTTATACTTTTCTGCTGCTTTTGATAAATACGAGCCTTTTACCGCAAACGAATCTTGATCCGACCATAATACAACACGGCCAGAAAGACATTGCAAGGAAGCGGGAGTGGAAAGGCGGCGCGGCTGGTGGTGGGGGATCCGACGCCCCCTCCCGTCGCTCCGGTTGGAGCCTCATAAAGCAGCTGCTCTTTGAAAGTCTCTCGCGCTTCGGGAATCTCTCTCGTCTCGGCAGCGCGAGGCGAGGCCGGCCGAGTGCAAGGTGATTACCTAGCGCAGCGCAGCACAGGTAGCCGCCGGGCCGGCGCTGGGGCGGCTGGCCGGTGGGGCGTTATTAAAGAAAGCGAGTCGATCGGACTGGGCGGCGCGCACAGCAAACTCTGAATAAGGAAAGCCCCCCGCCGCCAGCCGGCCGGGACGCCCGGCCCGCCTCGCCGCATCGCGAATGGAAATTAGAAGATAAACAATGATCAATTCGTGGGCAGGCTTAGTCGATGAGAGCAGCTCACGGTTTCAGTGTATACACCGCTCGAAGAGAAGGAGGTAAAAAGTGCAAAGTTTTACCGGGGAGTCTTTCCTTTCTTTTCTTTTCGTGTGGCAGCTTTGGTCCACTCGCTCAAAGCCAATGTGTCTCTTCTGCCCTGCAGGTGCGGCGGCAGCGGTGGTCGCCTCCGACCCGGCGCAGGTCCTCACCGCCGCCACCGCCACGCCCGCGCCGGCCGCCCTGGACGAGCCCGGCACCACGGCGCCGCCGCCCGACTTCATGCAGCCCATCGAGAACGTGACGGTGGCCGTGGGCAGGGAGGCCATCCTGTCGTGCTCCGTCACCGAGCTGGGCTCCTTCACGGTAAGACGATGACAAAATGGCCTATGTAAAATTAAAGAAAAATTCCCGATCGTAAAGTTTCTAGTTAAAGAGGGTTTTCAGTTAGGCCGAGGGAATAACGTGAGGCAAAATGCTTTGTTGTCGATCCATTCATTTCAAGTCATTTTTGGGCAGTTTCTTTTGAAAAGGTCTGTAGAAAAGAAGTGAACAAGAGGAAACACCCTATAGTATCCGAAGGCCCAAATGAAGGGAAAGGGGTCGCGTTACCCACCCTCGCCGCTGCGCTGTGTGGAACTTTAATGCCCCGTCCCCCGTCCCTCCGCTCCCCCCCTCAATGCCCCCACCATGGCCACTTGTTTATAATTATGCCCGTTGCACGTCTCAAAAATATTGGCCGTAAAGAGGCGCGCGTGCGGCTGAGCGATGGGACGGCCTCCTCACCGCCGGGACGGTTTTATTTAAAAAGTAACCCCCACCGCCCCGCCCCCTCGCCCTCTTCTCTCTCTCTCTCTCTCTGCCTGTCTCTCTCTCTGTCTCTCTCGGACTGTCACGTCGCCAGCGCTGCGTAGCGCCGCGCCGCGCCGCGCCACCGTTCACAAACGGCCCAGCATGAGGGATGATTAAAAAAAATTATGACGTGATTTTAAGGCTTAATATCCCAGTATGAAGCCTCTCCGGGGGTAAATGATTGTGCCATTAATGGTGATGATTAGAAGTCGACCTCGTTACTCGGCTTCCGCGGCCCCAAAGCCCATCCCGCTCTTCCCCGCGGTTCTGGGAAATAATTGAGACGCGGTTTATATGCGGTCAATCGGTGGGCGCGATGGTCCATTACGACCCATGACAGGGTGTGATTTGGCTCAGCTAGTGCGTGTGTGAGGAGGGGGAAGTGTTTGGTGTTTGCGTGCCTGTGTGTGTGAATGTGCTTGTTGGTGTGTGGAGGTCAACACCAAGTTATAATGCGCCCGTGTTGGCGTGTGTGCGTGTATTTATGTGTGTCAGTGTGAGAGAAAGGGCGAGCGGGTGTACGGACACGCCTGCTGTCCGTCTCTCGCGAATTGCTCTTGTTGTGTTTGTCACACACATTCGCTGCTTTTGTGTGTGTATGTGTGAGGGGGGTGGCGTTCGATTTATTTACACATACAGCTCTTTATCGCGATGGCCCCGGGGCTGGCCGGCGGCGGCCTCGAGGTCCGGCAGCCCATCACCTCACGGCGCGGACCGGCTGCTTCATCCGGAAGGTGGAAAAGTGAGTTTGCGTGGATTTTGGTGCTCGCTGGCGGGTGGGCGAGGATGTGCGGGGGAGCTTGGCAAGCAGCTCCGGGCTAGGTGGGAAATATGCACGGATTGGAAATATATTTATATCTATTTTTATAGGGTTACGGGGAAAGGGGACTGGAGAGCGCGTATATCACGCCGTTGCTCACACTCCCCCTTTTTCTCCCGTGCTTGTGACAGTTTTTCTGCACGGTTAACTCGCGCTTACGAAAACTGGTTGAAAAAGGTTTCAAACTTTAATGTTGCCGACGCTTTTAATTGAGAAGGCAGTATTACCTGATTTGGCACAGACTAATGTCTGAAGTGTGCTACTGGCAAGGGATCATCCGGAAAATACGTATGTCCTTCCTGTGAAAATTGTCAAAGTACTCACACAACCGATTGAGAGGAAAAAATTGTCGGCGAAATGGGACCCGGTGATCTAAGTAGAGCTCGACGAGTAGAACAACATACCCAAAGATGAAAAACATCTATCGAGCCGTTTTAAAACAAATCGTTTAAAGCCAATCCAACTCAAGCTCTTATGGCGCCTGTTAGGTAGGCAACACCTTGCCTGCAGTGTATGTGTGTAGTGCGGGTTGGCCTACCCCGAGTCTCGCAGGCGCCGAGCTTCGTTCATTTGCCAATTGATTCTGTGGAAAACGGACGTACTTTCTAGACAATCCTCATGCACACGCAAGTGTCAAACACCGTACCGCGCCGGCTAGTTTAAGCGCCCAAGAATCGCGTCGAACAGTTGCGAATAGCAACGTCGTGTCGAATAGCTGCAATCAGTTCAACGGTTAGGAAATCTTTAGACGTTTGCGGCATCGTCAGCGATCAGTCTTCTCATGAGATGTCTCAACGTCTCATGGTCTTCCGAATGAGAACTCTACACCGGAACGCCCCAAGCCACTTTTTGCTGTCTCAATTAGTGCCCAAGGGGCTGCTCGGGTCAGGATTGGCAGTGGGGAGGGACTGGGGTCCCCAGGCCCGCGGGCCCGCTCGGACCGCACCCCGGGGCGGGGGGGCTCCGTGACACAGTTAGAGCTGCGCAGCCCGCTGCCCCAGGTACCCGGCGGCCGGAGGACCCCGTCATTAAGGCCCCCGGAAGGCGCCCTCGCCCCGGGCAAACAGAAGCAATCGAATTCACCCCTAAGGAGCTCGCTCCCTCTGGGCCAATGGAGACGGCCTACCTTGTGGTCGAGGGGGCAAGGGGTGAAAGGAGGAAGGGTCGGGGGGACGCCGGGCGGGCG